TTTCCATCATGTATCTTTTTTTTCCTAAAAACTGTGTCAATCTACTAAGCTGACTTTAGAATTCAGATAAATTACTGCAAGATGTAGGTTACTTCCACAGTATAATATAAGCAACTAACATGCATTTAAAGACTTTGCTTCTACAGTTCATTCCCTCGCTAGAATTACCCATTTCAACTCTCTATTGGATTATTCTTGATATCATACAAATGGGCTGTAATATCTCCCTCTTTTTAAATCCTTCCCTTAAGTGCCTAAGAGGCTCTCCCACTATCCATTTCTCTACTACAACTCTTTCCTGCAGAGCTATTCCAAAGAGCTGCCTAGACTTTCAGTCTTCCCCTCACCTCCCATCTGAATGCGAACTCACTTCAGTCAGTCCTTTGTCCCCACCACTCTGCCGACACACCATCAGTGTCAGCAGTGAATTGCACCCTTGCCAGATACCCAATTCTCAGTCCTCATTGAGCAGTGATTCAGTGATTCTTACAAAAGGAAGAATGTAAAAGGTAGTCATGTCGTTCTCCTGCTCACAGGTCCAGTTCCAGTGGCTTTCCACCATATTTAGGAAAAAAACTAAGGAACCTAACCACGTTCTTTGAGGCCATACATGATTTGGCCCTATTCACCCCTCTGGTCTCGTATCCACTGCTCTTCCATTGCTCATTCCCTTCCTGTTCCACCAGCTGCCTTATAGTTCTTCTCACACTAGCCATGCACCCTTCATGCCTCGGAGTCTGTGAACTTTCAGTTCTCTCTTTCTGTAAAAGTCTTCCCCAGGTATTATTATCATACTGGTATATGGTTTTGTAATTTCATTATCAGCATTTTGAAAATCCAACTCCCCTATCATATTTTCTTTTGCTTATCCATATGTATATCATATGGTATATGATACCATATACTGATATGGTATCATATACCATATCAGTATATTATCATACCTTACATTTCAGGTAGGCCAGATTGTACCTAAAATTGCACTCCTCTCTTTTGACTTCCCATCCCCTTATCATGGCTTATTTTTCTTCATAGCTCCTACCCCATCTGACATATATTGTTTGCCTCTTACATTAGAAAGTAAGGCCCATTACAGTAGGCACTTGCTCATCTTGGAACCTTGAATTTTACTTGGCATATAGTACGTCCACAGGAAGGAGGGAGGGAAGGATGGGAGGGAGGGAGGGGACATTCCAAAACTTGCCTTCATCCAGGCAATTACAAACCAAGAACAACTTTGCTTGTGATTTGTTATGACCCTTACGCTTTTATGCTACTAAGTATCTGTAACAACTAATGAAAATCTCCTGGGAAATCTACCAAAAACTTCCCCAGGCTGGACTGAAACTCCTTTACAAGGTCAAATAATCCCTTTAGGGTCTTGTTTACAAATAATGTGTCTCAGATTACATAGTAACAAAACTCGGGCCAGATCAGTTCATCGGATGTTCTTCCCTCTACATGGAGAGCTCCCATTTCTCAGCACAACCGCTTTGGAGGCCAACTGCCACTTTGTCTTTTTGGTATCAAGAGGGAAAATGTCCTCCCCGGGAGACCTTCTCTGACATCCTCCCTCTTTGTAGCTCTAGCCTAAACTGTTTGTTTGCTATACCTTCCAGAGTATGTTTTCTTCAGATCACATACCACGTTCAAGGCTGAACTGAGATGTCAGTGCACAGAGCTAGCTAACAATTTGTCATGCCTTTAGACCAATATTCTTTAAATACTTGGATGGGCTGAGTTTCTATCCTCAATGGAAAGCTTTCTCACATCCTTCTGTTGTTAGTCAAGCATATTCATGTGAACGTTTCACCCTACCGCATCCCCAAACCCTAACCACCCCCTCTGAGCCTCACAGTGGAAACATTTCTAACCGTATATAATACCCACCGTGCAAATACTTTTATCAAATACAACCTTCTCCATCTGCAGTTATAATTAAACTCTCTCCCCGGGGCAAATCCATGAGTAGTCTACGTTTTAATCCAACTTAAGCACAGAATGTCCATAATTATCAGTTAATTATATGATTTTTTGTTTGTTTGTTTAATGTCAATACTTCCCAGTAGACTATAAGCACCCTGAGATAGAAACAGCATCTGTTTTGTTCAACACTGTATCCTTGGACCAATAAAATATTTACTACATGACAGATGCTCAATAAATACTTGAATGGACAAATGACTCAATTCACATGATACGTCATCTTAAAACATGGATGGGTACATTCACAGGTCTTTGTGTAACACGACAGATAAGGTAAACGATTTCTCTACCAGAGACCAGATGTGTTATAACAACTTTAAAAATAACTAGCCGGTACAATCATCTGCATTTATATGAGTTAGTTTTGTAAATTTTATTATTAGCATTTTGAAAATCCAACTCCCCTATCATATTTTCTTTTGCTTATCCATACCAGATATACAAGTCCTACATTGGAATGGAATAGGGGCTCCCTTTTATCACTTAGCCATTTCATTGTTGGCCCAGTGCCCAGCTGCATATATGCAAAATAAAGGCCTGAAGAATTACTGAAATGCCCTTTCTTTTATTCATTCTGTGAGGTAGGCAGGCCTCCTCCACTAGACACTTTTACCATCATCTAATTAATCAGTTAAATGATTAAAAAAAACCCTTATAAAATGCTATAGCAATATTTGTATAATATGGTGATTATAAAAACATAATACAAACTAAGAAAAATAGAAAATATGGGATGTTTCCAGATAATTTCTCACAGTACACGCTCAAACCTTATAACTTGTAGTAACAACTTACAGAAGCATTTCTATACTAATTTCTTGGGAGCAGTTTTTCATTTGTAAATTTGGTATTTTTTTCCTTCCAACTTTGTTTTTATATGACAGAGAAAAAATTTCTGAACATTACTGCTTCAAGTATTTCAGGGTGGCGGTAAATAATAATAAATAATTACAAACATTCTGTTGATAGTTGATTAACCTAGACGTTAAGCTCTTACTTAATCTCCTCAATAATCTTCAAGGATAGATCATGTTATTATCCCCATTTAATCTTTGAAGAGCACTTCCCAGTCCAAAGCTGTAAGTTAGGGGACTAAGTCTAGCTCAGATTCCTGATCCTGAATCTCATGCTCCTAATGTCCATATCACAGTCCAGGGGATTTATGATTATACCACTTTTTATTCTTGGCATGAGAAAACTGCTGAGTAAAAAACATGGCATGAAACTAACAAATACACTTGAGAGCAAATTATAGCATGAGTCGAACAAAGTTCTTCTGCAGAGATATAGTTTCCAGAAAATTAAATTTTGGCAATATACTTTCTATAGCAATCACCTTAAGTAAAAATAACCTCTCCCATAAAAGAGATATCTATTTTGTTTCCTTCATTAGTACATCAAAATTGTACAAAAAAAAAGAAGTCATGAACAACATTAAAATCTTCATCAATCATCTTCACAATTAAAACAGTATTTCCCTTAAGGGGTATGGTACAAGGACTGGATTCTATGGTATACACATACACACATATATAAAGTAATGCAATATGCAAGGTTCCACTTTTGCTCTTTGTTAATTCCTAATTCTTAAAAAATTTGTAAATACATCTTTAAATTATGAAAGAAAATAAATACCTAATGTGGCCTTCAGTTATGTTATTATTCAAATTGGTTAGCTCCTTTTGATCAGAAGTGTTAGTATCATCAGAGGGGGTTCAACTAAAGTAAAATCCAAGAGATTACTTCATACCTCTTTTTCTTCTACCTATTCACTAAGATGGTGGTGGGACTAGTTAATGTAGCCTTTGCCTGAAACAGCACAAAAGACAGAGGTCTCCACATTAAGCACAGAATGGCTACATCTCAAGTCTGCAGTCTAAAAATCTCTTAGTGCTGTGAATCATGTGATATTTTCACTTGGTAATACTGAGAAGATAAAATTCATTTCATGTGCTATGAAGAAACTTGATGCAGATAAAACAATAACTTGCCAAAGATGGATGCAATTTTGTAGAGTCCGTTTGCAAAAATTTCTCTAACTTCACAATCAACTGTTGTTTCTATGCATTGAATCCTACCTTATAGGAGAACTATAAAAATCCACGTTTACTAGTATTTTATGAGAAGGCAATGTTTATGTATTCATCAATCATATTTTAATGATGGGCCTCAGTAGTAATATGGTATCAAAGCAAAAAAAAAAATACAACGTATGTCTTAAACAGTCATCATTTCTTGGCCCTGAAGACAAAACACATGCATATGTGTTTAGTTTTAGAGGGAATGAGTCAATGATTATGGGCATTTTACATTTCTATAGAAGGGTGGCTTGTTTTGTAGATTCATGATAAAGGAGGAACAAATCGACAGCATGATGCTACTTTAATTCCTTCTGGTAAAAATTGGAAAAAAAAATAAGAGCTTAGAAGTAGGAAAGCAATTTCATGATCAACTGCATAACTGCCATATATAAAATCAGGTAACTAGGTATTATTAAATAGAGTTATGTAGCAAAGTATCTTCCTGCCTTCTAAGTCCTAGAAGGGAATTTTAATATTGCATTTTGAAATATTCCATCATACTGCGTCATACTGTTATTTAAAATGACAATAACTTACACTAAGACCTCAAGCTACATGAGGCTTTTGTAGTCAAACACCTAACTTTAGAGTTATTTTAATGGCGGCTCAACTTACAAGCAGTTATGCTAAATATAGATTATCCTCTCCATCTGAGCATTTGAAGGTAAACATTATTTTGCAAATGAAGACATTTGAATTCTAACATTAAATGACTTGATACGTAAAAATATAGACTAAAGAACACTGAAGCAAATACCAATGCCAACACGCGCTTGGTTCATACTAAACCGTGTTGATCAGCTGACATCTGTGTGGTGCACAGAACCTCTTTGGATGTGGTGTGCTTGCACACGGTTTAGGGGCAGCTCACTGAAATAAGGCATAGTTGCCTGTAGTGCGGAAATAAATCAAAGCTTCGCTTGTGTCCCTTACCTTTGCCATGGCTTCTCCCATCCTCCAAAAGCGGCACTACGATAGTGTTGTTCACATTTCCAGGTGACCGCACAGCTGTGTAGACAACAGGCACTGACTGTACCACCACAGGGATGCGGTGAACGTGACTCAGTTTGTTAGACTGTAAATTCATGGGACTTGAAGGCGGTACAGGATGGATAATGTGCAAAAACTGCTGGCCTCCCACACCAGAGGCGGAGGCTACAAGGGGCCCTGGAGTTAATACTGTTGACGAAGAAGATGCTGAAGATACTGATGTGATAACAGTTGGGGAGGAGGCTGGACGACTAGAAGACGATGAAGAGGTTGAAGTTGAAGAAGGCGAGGAGGCGGATGCTGTCATGGAAACCGGGGAGGATGAAACGGCTGCGGGGGATGTCCTGGCTTTGTTGATTGACAAGTCCACTGGCTCAGTTTGTGTTTGGAAGTGATCTACAGATAACGAGTCCTCTGGGGGCTCCCCTTTCACATTATTTAGCAACAGGGGAACAGCTTCCATATCGGGGTAGTTGTGGACGTTTGGAGACTGTGGGGAGAAAAAGGGGACACATATTGATCTCTGTTAATCACATATTTAATAGACGGCAAGGTTTAATGACTGGAGTGCTTATTAATTTTTCTCTTACTGCTATGAGACACTACTCATTCCCCAAATATTTGAAGAACTGCTCTGTGACAGTCATCATGCTTAGAGTTGAGGTACAAAAGTACAAAACAGTGTAAAACAAGGCCTCTGCTATAAAGACATTTTCATCCTATTGTGAGAGACACCGCAGTTGTTAAGATCCAGGGAAACGAGTGCTCCATGGAGGAGAAAAGAGGCCACAAGAAGCCCAAAAGGAACAGCAGTTTTACATAAAATCTCTAAAAGACAAGGGCAGTATGCAAAGCATTACCTACTTACAACTGTATAAATACAACAGCTTATTTATTTAAAATAACAAATATTTTAATTAAAAGCATTCATGTTGTTGGCTTGACCCATCCTGCATTTATGAGTCTCATTCTTCCTCAGTTATAAAGCGATGGGAATTTTGATCAGATAAACTTAAACACCCTTTCCAGCTCTACAATTCTACAATTTCATGGTTCTAACCCTTACTCAACACTATCGTAATCTGGAGGCATAAAATTACCTAGCAACAATACTGGGAAAAACCACCACATTTCAACTTTCATATATGGTGCAAGAGCTCTCACGCCATTCTCATGACCAGCACTGAAAAGGGGCACAACTGCTAAATTATTAAATATAAATGTTTTCTAACAATTGGGTTATGTTTTAACTCTTAGTGATAATATTTTTTTTCTCAAAACAATGTACACAATGACTACAACAAACATTTTAGGAAATAATGATTTTAGAAAAAACTTATTCTGGAAATTTTAAATTGTTCATGAGTATTTTATTTAACTTAACATAAAGATAATTTTGTATAAGGTCATTTTTATTCTTTTCAGTTTTAATGAGCAAATTTTAAATAATAACAATAATAAATCCAAGATTCTACCCAGACTAATGGACTCAACATTTTATTACTGGACGTGAATATGATTTATCGTTACACTTATTCATTCATAAATTAAACAAGTATTCATTGAATGCCCACCTCCAAGGCCTAAAATGGCCTAACAATTCTATTAGCATGTGTCAGGCTAGCCTTACCAGAGAAAATTAGATTGTGACAAATTATTTTGGTTATATCTAATTTCGCCAGGCTAACATAGGCACTGACGTTCTTTTATACGAAGACCAAAAACTTCTTTTCAGCTTCATTATGGTATTAGAACAACAATGTCTAAAATTATATTAAATCGGTTCATTTCATTCTTTGTTTAATAAAAGATCTTGGTTTGCTATTCCCCCTAAAATGTGAGCATACACTTAAAGGAACAAAACATGTTTCTTAAAACCTTTCTTTATAGAATATAAATTATAGCTCCATTCAAAACGTACAATAGGCAGTAGTACAAGGGAATTCTATTCAACAAGATAATAAGTCAACAATGGTAGCAGATCAACTAAAAAGGGAAATGGGTTGATGTTTTTTTTGTTTGTTTGTTTGTTTGTTTCTAGGCTAAGATGATTACTTACCCACAAAAAAAGAAGAAAGTTAGAAAATATAAAAATAAACCATCCAAAATATCTACTGCATGAAATTCTCCATGCCAAGATTTCATTCTATGTGTTGAAACTGAGAAATAACTCTTTAAATCTTTTCAGACATTAAGAAACAAAAAACCCCACAAATACCATAAACTGAGCTACTTTTAAAAAAGCTATTAGCATTATCTACTCTTCTAACTAGAACAGTATTTCAATTGATTCCCAGCATTATCATTTAATTTCTTACTTATTTTTTTTTTAAGATTTTATTTATTTATTTGACAGAGAGAGAAACAGGAGAGAGGGAACACAAGCAGGGGGAGTGGGAAAGGGAGAAGCAGGCTTCCTGCTGAGCAGGGAGCCCGATGCGGGGCTCAATCCCAGGACTCTGGGATCATGACCTGAGCGAAGGCAGACGTTTAATGACTGAGCCACCCAGGCGCCCCTCATTTAATTTCTTTTTAGAACAATCTAAGATATTTCTTATTAGTATGTTACACCCACATAAAAATTCTTTCTTGAGGCTGCTTTTATAAAATATCCCAAATGGTCTGTTATTAAAATTATAAAATATGTTATTAAGCACGTCATGAAACACTATTTGACCTCAAATATAGTCTTGATTAGTTTCTCTTCTTACTCTATTAGGTACATCCAGAATTCTAATTTTGGAAACAGCAATTATTCTATCTAGTTAGACACAAGGTTTCTACATAGGTTTACAAACCAAGGGCTGAGGTGTAAGTCACCAATGTAGGAACATTTCATAATGTAAACAAAAGACTAATGGATTATGATAATACAAGAGCTGGTAAATATGGAGCTTATTTGTAGAGATGGCTTCTGAGACATCAAGTGTACTGAGCTTTGTGAATGACTTCAACTTTTCTAGATTATGAACAGGAGTCTACCTTTTGGAGGTAACTGCTTAATCCCTCCCTAAGAAAAATATTTATTCCTTAAGCTGTTTTATAACATCAGAAGAACAGTGTTCCTCTTATAATTCTGTTGCATATCCTAGGAAAGCAATGAGGACCAAATATTAAGAGTCCCTAGGTATTTTCAAATATGTGAGAACTACTTAGCTTTTACATGAGCTTAAACCAAAATACAGAAAATGATTATAAAAATTAGCAAGGATAAACCCAACCCTTGGACTACACACATTGTCTTTGGGACGCTGGACACATTATGCATGAAGTTATAAGGATCACCACTGCAGAGGCACATGTCGGTTCCTTCCTCATATGTAGCAGGTAGAATGCAGCCAATATGTCCCCAAACAAAGCCTCATCAGTATAAAGAGAACAAAATCTTTATTGTACCATTCACCTGTTTACAGTATTGACGTAACATTATATCCTCACAGCCCATCTGTATCTCTCCTATGGGGATGTGGCAGGTAAAGCCACCCTGTAGCTTCAGGCTGCACATACGTATATGGAAAGCTAGCAAGACTACTTAAATATGGTTTCAAAACATCTGTGGCATACTTTTGCTCCTTCGTTTAGGAAAGAGAAAAGACCTGAAAGACTTGATTCTGAAGTCATCATTTGGAAGTCATCTCCTTACTTTCAGAAAGGTGAAAACTGAAATGCATTGGTTCTGAGGTAAGAATCCATCAATACGTAGCAGCAGTGAGGTGATGGGAACATAGCAGACGGCCAAGAGCGACAACAAGAGCTCTGAGAGACCGAGGAAAACACCAAATGAGAAGTATTTGGAGCAGCTAGAAATTAAATAAAAGGCCTACAGGTGTACATCAGACATACTGTGGGTTCAGCTCCAGACCGTGGCAATAAAGTGAATGTTGTAATAGAGCATGTCAAGTGAATTTTTTGGCTTTCCAGTACTTAGAAAAGTTATGTTTACACAATAACTGTAGTCTATCAAGTGTACAATACCATTATGTCTTTTTTTTTTTAAGATTTTATTTATTTGACAGAGAGAGAGAGAGCACAAGCAGGCGGAGTGGCAGGCAGAGGCAGAGGGAGAAGCAGGCTCCCCGCAGAGCAGGGGGAGCCCGATGTGGGATTCGATCCCAGGACCCTGGAATCATGACCTGAGCTGAAGGCAGTCGCTTAACCAACTGAGCCACCCAGGCGCCCACCATTATGTCTTAAAAAAAACAATGTACATACCTTAATTTAAAAATTTTTATTGCTAAAAAAATGCTAACCTTCACTTCTAATTCTAGTTCTCTTGCTATTTCCACCACATCTGCAGTTACTTCTGCCACTGAAGTCTTGAGCCCCTCAAAGTCATCCATGAGGGCTGGAATCAACTTCCTCCAAACTCCTGTGAATGTTGAGATTTTGGCCTCTTCCCAGGAATCACAAATGCTGTTAATGGCAACTAGAATGGTGAATCCTTTCCAGAAGGTTTTCAATTTATTTAGCTGAGATCCATCAGAGGAATCGCTGTCCACGGCAGATGCAGCCTTGCAAAATGTATTTCTTAAATAATAAGACTTGAAAGTTGAAATGACTCCTTGATCCATGGGCTGCAGAATGGATGTTGTATTAGCAGGGATAAAAACACCATTAATCTCTTTACACATCTCCATCAGTGCTCTTGGGTGACCAGATGCACTGTCAAGGAGCAGTCATATTGTGAAAGGAATCTTTTTCCTGACCAGTAGGTCTCAACAGTGGGCTTAAAAGATTCAGGAAACCACGTTGTACATAGAGGTGCTGTCATCCAGGCTTTGTTGTTCCACTTATGGAACACAGACCATAGGATTTTTGGAATGGTCAATGGGCACAGGCCTCAACGTGAGTCACCAGCTGCATTAGCCTCTAACTGGAGTCAGCCTGTCCTTTGAAGCCAGGCACTGACTTGTCCTCTTCACCTATGAAAGTCCCAGATAGCATCTTCTTCCAAGAGGAGGTTGTTTGTCTATGTTGAAAATCTGTTGTTTAGTGTAGCCACCTTCATGAATGATCTGAGCCTGATCTTCTGGAGAACTTGCTGCTTCTCTCCATCAGTGCTTGCTGTTTCCCTCACACCTTTATGTTCCGGAGATGGCTTCTTTCCTTACTCCTCATGAACCAGCCTAGCTTCACATTTTCTTCTGTTGCTTCCTTACCTCTTTCAGTTTTCAGAGAATTCAAGAGTTAGGGCCTTGCTCTGGATTAAGCTTTGGCTTAAGGGAATGTTGTGGCTGGTTTGATCTTCTATCCAGACCACTAAAACTTTCTCCCTATCAGAAATAAGGCTGTTTCACTTTCCTACCTTTCATGTGTTCACTGGCTAACACTTTCAATTTCCTTCAAGAACGTTTCCTTTGCATTCACAACTTGGCTAACTGTTTGGTACAAGAAGCCTAGTTTTCAACCTGTCTTGGCTTTTGACAAGCCTCCTTCACTAAGCTGACGCATTTCTAGTGCTGGATTGACAGTGAGAGACATATGCCTCTT